TAAAGAACACTGGTTGATTGCCAATAGTTATTAAGGGTTATAGAAAATTAGATGAGAATATAACTCATTTTCATTTGTTTCTACAATTTTACAGAACATATAATATGCATTCAAAGTGTCCTTCCAAAAATCATTATTTATCTCACTAACCTTTTTTTCTAAATACCTTATACCACAATTAATTAATTTCTCTATATAAAAAATTGAGCATGCCAAACCTATCCATTTACCATTATTGACTAAAATTCTTCTTATCCAAGATATCTTTAAAGAGTTAATATATATGCTTCAACGTCTATCAGTCCTAGACCACCTTTTAAATACTTTGTCTAAACACCTCTTGATTAATTTTACATTGACCATGCCAGACAAAATCTCTGAAAGTTTCAGTTAAGTCTTTAATTATATAAGGACTTGGATTTGGCAGAGTTGTAAATAAATGTGTGAATATTGATAACAATAAAGATTTAACGACTACGATTCTTCCGATTGGAGTTAAATTTCTTCGTTTCCAATTTCCATTTAGTTTTAATGCTATTTGTACTATATTTAAGTTTACCAATCCAAACAATCTTGGTTTTATCAAAATTAACCTTAAGACCTGTAAATAAAGAAAAACCTGCAAGTGTGTTTAGGACTACGTTTTTGATGCATCACCTTGACCCTTGGGTTCTTTTAATTCTTTTATTTTTTGACAAGTCGCGCCTAAAGCGCTATGTTACTCGATACCTTTCATTTATTGACTAGTCGAACTCGGACGGTTGTTCCGTGAACACTTTTTACTAAATTCCTTACCTTTTTCACTATGTGATTAAGTAAGATTTAGTCAGACCCATAAGCTTTTATTCTCATTTGAATCATAACTGACTTTATCTTCAAAATTTCGATACTTATTTATTATACAGTATTGAACTGTACATCGCTTGCATTAATGTAGCACTTGATCGTTATTGTACTTTTAACAAAGGAAATTCACCTACTCCAAGCAAATAAAATCAAAGTCGTTCAAATTACGCAAACTGTAAATGCTTTTGTACGAGGGTTGTTCAAAAAGTAATAGGACTAAGAGTCTTGCAACTTTATATTCAATTCAATTAAGAATATTTTGATATGTAGAGCGATCGAAAAATGTTTTCTTCAATTTAAGCATAAAATTATTGAATTATTGTTCCTTATGCGTGTTCCCTGTGTAATTGAATAACCATGGTAACCCGCACTCGGCGCAGCACATGAAAAAGATTTTTAAAGCTTAGTTGTACTTCTATTTTATTAATAATTTATTTTCTTTTTCCCTATTTATTTTACCATCACAATTTAATATATTTAAAAGACATTATTCCCAAATTTGACGTCATTCAGATATGAAATGGCTAAATCATCAAGTTTTGAACAGCAGTGGTCATAACGTTAAATGTAGAAACTTGACCTTCGTTAAAAAACTGAAAATGTGTGCGATCGTTAAACTTTGCCAACAAATTGGCGATACTCCTTTAGATACATACGAAAACATAAAAGTAACACAGTACAATTAATCGGCTACTCAGGATAGTCGTTCTCAGATTGCGCAAGCAATTCAAAAACTGCACATTCGAGATCATAAACACGAAAGGATGAGAATGATAGCGGGAAATTGACGGGACGTTAGTGACGTCAAATAAAAAAGCGCTACAAAATGATGGACGGTAAACAGTCCACGAACTGACCGGCATGTTTAAATTCCTGCATCGGGTCTATTGATTCAGTTCTGACCAAATGATTTGTTTTCAAACAAAATTTTATTTCATTTAACTAGATATACGTGAAATCAATAAATTAATGTTATAATGATTAACAGTTTTTATTAATATTTTTTCCCTGATTTTCTTTTAAAAATGATACGCTGTTCTTAGTAGGAAAATATACTTTTAAGTTTATAAATTTTGTTATTTTACTTACATAATCATATTGTTTTAAGAACATACGATTATTTGTGCCATTAATTCTGTTAATCGCTTTCTCATTATCATCATAAGTTCATGCCTGTTTAATCTATATCAATATCTATAAGAATACAAGAATACGAGAAAAAGCGGAGAGTGGCCGGCTATCAGGATTTTTTGCGGAGAGTGGAACGAGAATGTGATCGCTTTCTTTCTCGCTTCATCTACATATATGAGGTCTGGTCAAATTTACATGATTTAGACACCTGGAACACTCGAGAGAGAATTCTTTCAGAAGGGATGACGCTTGTTGCATTTTGTTTTTATTTTACGACGTCATAAACGTCATTTATTGTGATGTTAGCGTGCGCCGGGTAGCGTACCCCTTGTCATTTGAAGTTTTCACAGACTCGTTATTTTCAAACATATTTTATTGATTTTTTCACTGTATATAGAGGATATGTTCCGATATTATCATCTTGTAAAATTATGCACCTAGATTAAAAAATGTGAACAGTAGAACTGCAGTCCTATTACTTTTTGAACAACCCTCGTATACGCCGTGACTAGCGAATAACGTCAATAAGCATGATAATTATTAATAATTGACATTTTTTTCAGGGTCCAAATAGGTATCTATATAAACATACATTCTGAGTATGAAAGCGAACAGTACTGTAAAATGATATTACCGCCCTCTCATCGGTCAGCATTTTGTAAGTTTAGATTAGGAGTTGCGCCGATTCGTATGGAGACCGGCCGTTATGAGGGTCTGAGCATAGAAGATAGAATTTGTCCTTTTTGTAACGATAATTCAGTTGAAAATGAATTACATGTTTTGTTCAGTTGTAAGGTTTATGATGATTTAAGAGTAGATTTGTACTCTAGAGCAATAGAGCATGATAGTTTGTTCTCTGAAATGCAAGATTCTGATAAATATACTTACTTGTTTTCCAATAAAGAGCCAAAAATGATAAGATATTGTGCCAAAACCTGTAAAAATATTTTAGATAGACGTCGTTTTAAACTTTGTAAATAAAACATTTACAATAGATGTGGAATGTTTCACACATTTTTTATTACCTTATATATTTTTATTATATGTCAGAAACCTCTTTAAATGCATGTGTTTCTATGTTGATATTCGTGCTTTTTTATTATATGCTGATATATGTTTTACTAGAAATAATTGTTTTATGTCTTACTTGTATAGAATTTTAACTCCATGCTTAGTTTAGATAAACTGTTCGATTTTAATGTATTTTCTCACGACCATCTCTTATAATTCCATATGGAATGTCATTGCATTTATTTATTTTGTTTTTAAATATATATGTATGTTTTATCATGTATATGCAATGATGAGATGTAAATAAAGATACTACTACTACTACTACATAATTCTTTACACAAATCTAAAGCATCTGTGTTTATATGTTTCTTGTGTACGTAGATTATAATAAATATTCTGCATGTTTATATTTTTATTTGATTGAAGCTAGAAATGTTTAGGTGACATATTCGCGGCTAAAAAGATTCGCGGAATCATGCCTACCGCGAAAAGCGCTAACTTAAAACGCGCGAAATCTTTCTAGGCATACAGTATTCGAAAGTTTACTATTTAAATGTCAAAATATTATACAATTTTTTTTTTACAAATAAGGCCGATTTTTATATTTGGCTTTCCTTTCAGAGAAAGACACGTGAACTATGAAATGATTATTTGAGAGAAAAACGACCTGGCTACCATTTTTTTAGTAGAATGTTGTGTTTCGCCAATATTAATTCGTACAATTACGCCACACATAGTAGACTTTCTCTATAATTAAACTTTGCTTTTTGTTATATCAGACACATTTTCATAATTTCAAGTTTCTCATAATTTTGCACAATACTACATTATGTGATATAAACGACAATAACGATTGACGCATACCAAATAAAATTAAAAGTTTCTTTCCCTAGATATTATTTTAGTGACAGTATAGATTTTAGTAATGCCTGTTTCTAACGAAACTATAAATTCTAGTGTAATATTAACGTTCAACATGAACATTGGACGTTACCACCTTGCGATGATACACGTTTAAATCAGTAAATTGTATCAAAACCACAAGAAATGTAAATATATTTGTTTCGTATGTCAGCAATTAATTTTCTTTTTTATCCGTTATTTGTATGCATTGTTCTTTGTGGTCTTTTATTTCTCTGATGGCAGACAAACACCCCCCCTTTTATTAGAATTGTTTACGATAATTGCAATACCTTTAGTAAATTGATCAAACAAAGTCGATTAAAGGTATTTTATAACATGCTTTTCGGTGGTTTATAGAAATATATCAATTTGATAATTTCACTGTTTTGAATTTAAGCCCCTTACGTTGTTTCAGTGATATACCATCATGTACAGTGCTGGGAACCAACTTAATGACGTGACATTGTAAATGACGTCACGTTGCATTATTATTTGGCGCGCTTTTCATTCAGTATTAGGTTTTATATCTTTTTAAAACGTTTCTTTACACAGTAATAAAAAGAAAATTTGTTTAGTTTAGTGTAAGATCACCTGAGGAAACAATAACACATATGCTGACTTGAAGAAACAAAGTGGGAATAGAGCCCATTGCGAAATGAACTTTTTGCCTACTAAATGAATATTTGATTTCATAGTAATGGCAATGTTATTTTCATAATAATGCTTTATCAATTTGCGCATGTCTACCCGAAGGCGAAGACACGACGGCACGAAACATTGTCAAAATTGTGTGTTTGATTTTCGGGGCAAAGCCACGGCGACATAAAGACTCGATAAATTGACATAACAAATATAGATACGCGGATCTCTACGCACCTACGTGATAATTGTACAGAAAAAGTCCTCGCCTTTGGAATATATTTAAACATACCAAATAGTTTGACAGGCCTTTCCTTTGGTACTTTGTGCTTTAATTTTTTTAGATATTAGATTGCCGCAGTATGAAAAGTTTTTTTGTGATAGGTAGTAAGTTTTAATCAAGAACATAAATGTAAATAAATTTCGTGAAATATACTTTGAGTTCAGGGAAAATCAATTTCAAGTTATTAAAACAGTTTCCATCCTGTAAACGTTGGTCGAGCCAGGTGATCGTGTATGGTGCAGCCACTGCTGCTCTTACTTCTCCGAATAAATACATGAATACCCGTGTTCACATGAACAATAGCTATTCCAGTCGCTTGATTGTTTTCAGCATCTGTCGTTATCCATCCTATTGGACTCCCGTCAACAACTAAGTCAATTACGGACCATTCGTCTATCGGCGAAAATATAGTCCACATAAACACATACGTCCCGGTTTCTGGCACGACATATATCCCGTCTGTTGGACTGTAGCCATTACCTTCATCTATTACCTCTGTATCAAACACAATCACTTGTTGGTAACTTACGCATTTACTTCCAGTCATGTAAGCATGAAACGCAATGCCGTTCGATTGTCCTGATAATAAAACCGAAAAATACTTGTCTAAAATGTTTTCCATTGCTCATTTATTATACAACACAATAGTTTTCAAATATACAAAATATCAGTCTCAATATAATAATACGAGTAGACCGGAAAAATTGTTTTGTCATAGCTTATGTCTATATATTTCTAATACCTTTTTAAATCTAAATCTACTAAAGAAATACAAAACAGATCATAAACTAATCTAAAATATCCATTTTATTATTTTTGTTATGTAGATACAAGGCACACATGCATGTAACTTACGCTTAATTATTCGGTTCAGGTTGAATGTGGTGATTTTAATATTGTCTGTTGCCGTCATGTCTTTATGATCTAAGACGCTGTTGATAGCATTTTCCTCAACATAATCTGCGCGTTGATTTTTTCCACTATCATTCGTGACTTCCTTAGCATTTGATAGTATTTCGTGTTTTCTCATTTCGTTTTCAAGCACTTCCAATCGCAATTTAAGATCAGCATTATACTTCTCGTGGCTTTTAATGGTGATTTCCTGGTCCCGGATTATTTTTTCTTGATGCTCCAACATTTGTTCTACCTTAATTAACCTTTCTTCAACGGACAATGCTTTAGAACCACAAAAACACATTAAATATATCAAGCAGAATGAAAAAACAAACATTTTTGCGACTGTCTAGGACCCAAATGATATTAAGTTTGGTTACAAGATTATTTAGCAGACGATGAAAGATAACTCACTATAGTTTAAAAAGATAAGGGAACTGACCTCTGACTATAATATATGCTTAATATCTGAACAACAGACATGTATTTATATATTCCTCATTTCAGATGACCTCAATTCTAATGAAATAGACGTAAGTTAATTATAGACCTTTCTTTATTGAAGACACTTGAAAGTACATCTCCAGATGAACCAAAATAATTCAAGAAATTCAATTTTTAGGAAAATGTATTAATATCTTAAGAAAAGTAAAAAGATTTAATGTTTTGATTAATTATTTACATCTTATGTGCGATTAATATGATTTTTCAGTATCAATCACTATAATTAAACTGCGTTAATTACTAACGTGGTAAGAGGTATTATCATGTATATTTTGACCTCTTTTTGGTAATTTACGTGGATTATAAGTGCCGTTTGCAATGTGTAAATTTCTTTCTTTGTTCATTTCACAATATTTTTTCTTTTTAAATACATTTTAAAAAAATGCATGAAAGTTAGAATGAATCTGGAGGCATGCTGCTTTAAACGTAACTATAAAATATTCTCATCAATTAGATATATTTAATCATATATATCGTTGGTGAATTGAGTATTAAATCAGGTTCAATACCGCCCATAACTCGGAAATGGATTTTGACAGAACTATTGCCCTGCTTGAACTTAGGAAATTTTACATAATCCAGGCTCTTCTTTTACTATCAAATACTGGGAACATTTGAGCATGCTATCCGATTAAAATATCTTGATTGTAGTAAAGTAGATCAAACAATAATAAATTTTCCTATTTACAATATGAGTCTTATAAGCTGATTGAAGTTATTTTCAATAATCATGCATTTAACCATTTTCCATATTTATTTCATTTTCAATAGAAGTTGTTTTTTTTTTGCAAAAAAAACTTGAAAAAGTAAAATTGAATGAGTAATCATTGGCTTTTTGAAATTTTTGGTGCTAAAATTATAAAGAATTTTGAATCATGAACAATCATGTCTTCTGTTGTCACATTCATTCTGTATTTCCTATCATGCCAGATATAAAAGTTAAGTTCTGGGTTTTACTACCTACATTTCCTTTTCATCAACCCTTATGATTTTTTTTATTTACAATTCATTTTTTCTTTATACATGCATATGGAACATTATTTAACAGATATTAAAAAAAATGTTGCCTTCCTACCACTCTTTAAAGGTTGGAGACTAGAACATGTATTTATTTGGTCGACAAAATGAAGATAGCCTTAAATTTACTCTATCTATCTATTTTGACAAATAATTACAGAGAGGAAATAACAATAAGCGATAATGCTTGTAATGATGCTTTTGCCGCAGTCCTGACTCTTGTTTTCAAATTGGTTTTGAAATCGTTGGAACAGTTTATAGTTGATTATTGTTCCAATTAGGGTAGCAAAACGTTGAAATTTAAATAAAAATGCGTGAGGACTTTCATGTTTTTTGTTATATTGAAAGACAATATTTTCTAACATATTCTTTTGCAATAAATGAACCAGGTTGAGCTTAAAATTTTGTTTCACTGTCAAACCATGCAGGAAATGTGCAATATATCATAGCAATTAGTAAATTCCCATTTAAAGAAGATTGTAAAAAGTAAAAAAATGATTGTTTTCTTACGTGCTATTGTCTGACAAATTCTTCGTATTTCAGTTAGTGATGTATTACTTTGAGGTATTATATATATATTTTCCCTATATGAAATATTTGTGATTCACAGAAAATTTTGTATAATATAAAATATTAATTAAGGGAGAAAAGAACGGCTGAATATGGATGTCTCTGATATATATGATAAAATACGTTACTATTGTAATTCTTCCAGGTTAAATTAAAATACTTGTTTTAATGTTTTTCTTTGACTATTGTCAAATGCAGGAAACGATAATTATTTTAACTGGTTAATAGTTGTTTTGAATTATTATGAAACAAATCCATGCTGTTTGGAACAGTTGTCGAAAAAACTCTTTACGACGCTAGAAATTTATGGTTACCTTGGTTCTATACATGTTATAAATGAATGTTTTATTGCTGGTAGAACTCTGATGGGAAAATTGTGAATCCCACGATGTAACAAAGAAAAAGCCGACTTAACTGATTTGTATATGATTTTCAAATAGTTTGCTCATGATGTATATATGCTGATCATTTAAACATCAATCTTGTGTAATTATTATGTGAAATAAAATGTGGAAATAGGCATACCCTTTTCAATTATCTTGTTTTGAATATAAGTCACTCTAATAGCACAGATAATGTAAATGTTTGTTCCATTTACGTGCTTTACCATATAACAAAACGCGTGCTTCCTGACTGTATTTTGCTACCGATCGCCACAAAAAGGTTTAGCAAACCTTAGCAAAACCTTTCCGGCACGGATATTTGTTTGTATTTTGATCATGACAGTCCTAGATTAATGCATTTCTAAATCAATCATTATTTATGTGGAAGAAAAATGTTGAAAATATGTCTTATGCATTAAGTAAAACTGTAAATGAGTATAAAATGGCTTTCCTACTTTAAATTTAATAGGATCCTTGATGAACATTTTTTTGACATTAGGTCAGAAGTGATTGTTCAAAGATGCGCCTTTGTTATTGTATGATGTCCATTCTGTGTTATCATCCAAAGTTTCCCTTAATCAACATTTTGTCCTTATACCAGGATTGGCAAGCAGAAATTTGCAACACCATGTAACCGTATATACATGTATTCATCAAAATTTGTCGCACAGAAAAAAATCTGCAAGCACGACGGGAAAAAGTTAAGAGGTACAAAGGACACTGTTGCGCGAAATCGGCTCACATAATGGTGATTAAAGGTATTGCAATAACCATTTCTGTTGTGTCAAAATATTCCATTGTCGTATTTATTTGCAATAAATTAATAAAGCTGGGCTCATTTAGTTTGACCTTTAGTTTTGAATAAAATTAACTTATGGTTAATCAATTTATGGTGCAGCTACGGTCCCTTCTTCGTCGGATACCGTATTTACATTAAGAATAGCTATTCCCGTTGAACGACCATTTTCATTTCCATCTTTTTGACTCCCCTCAACAACTATGTCAGTTATTGACAATTCATGATACGATGGAAATATAGTCAAATCGTTTTCCTTGCAATTTGTTATATGACAGGTCCTTCATAAACCACATTTTCTCGTTCAGTTACTGATTTATACCTATAAGATATTAGATTTTTCAGTAAATGAAAGATTTGTTGTTGATAGTAAATTTAATATTAATATAAACTATTAATTAAGAGAGAAAGGAATGATTTGATATCGATTTTTCCAAAACAAGAACTTGATATATTTGATAAAATACGTTAAGAAAGTACTAGTATTTTCTTACATATTTAATTGGAATACAAATAACTTGTATATTTTTTTTTCCTGTACTATTTCTTATAAACAACACATAAGTTAATATATGTTCATGCCATGTATAAGGCCATAAAATGGCAAAACACAGTTTCAGAAACCTGCGTTTGAGTTTCTAAATTCTTATAATATTTATATTCGAGCACTTGGATAGCAACAAGTATAAATCCTTGCGTTAACAAAGAACCCAACTCAAATGTATTGTCGCTGATTTAATTATTTTTTTTGTGTCAGTGATATGGTATGTGAAATAAAATATTAAAATCTGCGTCAATACTTTGTTTTAACCTTATCATTTTTTTTCTGCTGGTCAACCCCAAGGCCTCACTGGAAATATATGTGTCACACATACAATAATCCTTATTCTTAAACAGATATTCTCTGTTTTTGTAAGAATTAAATGATATTCTCTGTTTTATAAGAATTAAATGATATTCTCAGTCTGTTTTTATAAGAATTAAATGGTATTCTCTGTTTTATAAGAATTAAATGATATTCTCCGCTTTAATAAAATTTAATGATATTCTCTGTTTTTATAAGAATTAAATCAAGCATGTTTAAACAATTAAATTCTGAATCAATGCAAATATTGTTTAGAATGGACATTTTTCCTGACAATGAATTACAGTGTACCAAGATTAATGCATTCCTCAATAAAAAGGTGATGAAAGTTGTTTAGAGTTAGTAGGATTCTTTATAAGTATTAAACGACAGTAATACAAAGACGTTTGTGCTGGAAATGAAAGAATGGATTTGTTTGGTTTTTAGAAGAGTATCAGGACAAATTACACTTATTGTTTCATTTCTTTGTTTTATTCGATGATCATAAAACATTGTTTATAGATATTTCTCTATTACTTTTTTTATAAATTTATTTTCGAAAGTATGCGATTTTTGGGCTTTGTAAAGATACGTGCTTAGTGCCTAACAAAAGACAAATTTTAATGGGTTAGATAGTATACGCATCCTCAAACAGCGCCATGACGTTATTATGCATGGTTAAATATAATTATTTCCGTTTCAAAGTCGGTAAAATGTCGTCCGCTTATGTTTTGCATATTCATAAAGCGTATGAATATTGGCGGGAAAATGCTCGTTTTTCTCGTGCTGGGTATAAAAGTACAACTCGGCGTGCTTTAGGCCATTCGAGGCTTTTACATTGGTAGCGAAAGATATCTGTTTAGAATGTCCGACACGGAAAATGCTTCGGGTAATTTCAAGGATGAAGTTGTTACCGAAATAAAAGACTTTTTTGATACAAAGTTTAGAGAATTGAAAAGGGATTTCAGGGAGGAAACTCAGTGGAACAACGAGAGTGTTCGTAAAAAAGGTACGTGCTGACAATTTAGTTTCGTTTAGCAGTGCTGGAAATAAGAAGCAATACAACTTCAACACTGAAATTTTCGACATTTTGGATGCTTCTAAGAGGGCCATTGAATTAAGAAATGCTT